CATCACCGAGGCGCCTGAGCGCGCTGCCCGCCTCGCCAGCCCGCGCCGCCAGGGGGCGCCCGAGAGCCGCCACCCAGCCCGCCCCGGGGGCGCCGCCTGCGTCTCCCATCGCGTGCACCAGCTGGAGATGTGCGCCCGTGACAACCTGGGCTTCTCGCCCCCCTCGAGCCCGGGAGCCATGCGCGGCGGCAAGGCGGATAGGCCCCGGGCCCGGCGGAAGTCCATCTGACAGCTCGACCCCGGAGGGGTTGGACCTGGACTGGTGGGTCTGGCTTCAGCTGGCAGCGCACCCTCCCCAGGGTCTGGAGAGGGGTGAGGGGACTCAAGGCCGACTTCTGCCACGAGCAGCTTCTCATTACCTTCTGTGGCCAGTTCCCTCCAAAATATATTAAAGTTGCACCATAAACACAAACCACAGGTCGTCCTGTAGGAGCACGTCCTTTGTGATGCGAATGGCAGGAAGGCTTGGCCACATAGCACCTAGAAGCGGCTTTGCACAGGTCCATGTCACCAGCTGGCCCTTCAGGGCGGCTTTTCTGTTGTGAAGAGGCTGGTTTTCCATGTCGTAGGAGAAACGTGCAACTTTCAAGCGTGGAATACTCAAATCAGTGAGGCCAGATGCTCACACTTAGAGCCCCACAGGAAACAGAGGTGGACCAGTTGGGGCTCTGCACAGTCCAGTGTGGATGAGTGGGCCAGACTGCACTGTTAAGGCCATGTTTCGTTCTCTTTGTCTGGGGTACAGAGTGGAATTGGCCCATGTGTGAATGGTTGCCTTTTCCTCCGTAAAGCTGATGCTCTGTCCCTGGACACCTCTATTGAAGGATGAGTGGGTCCTTGCTAACACCCACCATGTCACTGGGGCCACCTGGACACAGCAGGATGCTGTGAGATAAGCTCTTTTCTGGGTCCCGTCATTCACCATCAGTGACCTTGGGGAATCACATCTCTTCTCTGGGCCTGTTTCCACTTCCGTAAAATGACTGGGTTCATACAGAACCCTGCTCCCTCTGTGTATCTCTGGTCGGACTTTGTGGAACAGGCCCCTGTACCCTAAGACAGTCACAAAGCCCATGGTGTGGTATCCTGGCACCCTGTAGCACCTAGCCCCTTAAAACACCCTCTTCCCTTAGCTTCCCAGATAGAAGTGTCTCAGCACAAAGCGAGAGAAAGCCAGGTTAGAAAAGCCAAAAACTTTAATCTTTAACATGAGCTACATGGTCATGAACACAATGTGACCCACTCCAACCCACGGGCTCTGGAAACCCTCCCTCCCCAAAGGCCTGGGCGGCTCCTGCTCCCGACAGGGAATGAGGGGAGAGTGGGTGGATGGAGAAAAGCCCCAGCCTGAGAACCCAGGGGTCCTCCTCCTGCCACCCCCCCCGGAGGCAGTCGTACAGTGAAAAGACCCCAGAGGCAATGCCCATAGCCCTGGGTTCAAGTCTCCACTTTGCCCTCACAGCAGCTCTGGGTGAAATGGACATATCAGCCCGCCTCACGAGTCGGGTGAACTCGTGGGTATGAATGCTTCCCATCCACTCTGAGGTGCTGCTCTGCAGACATAGGGCCCTCTCAGAGGGCCTTGAGTCACTACAGGAGAGCAGGGAGGGGGGCTCGGTCCATCCTGACAGCGCTGCTGCTCAATAAATAAACACAGGTGACCTTGCCTGGTGCAACAGCTTTGCCCCCAAAGGGGTGGAGCTCCTGGCTTAAGGAATTGGATGGCAAATCAGCTTGCAAATTGCACACCACCCCCTGAACTATCCGCTTCACCACCTCATGTCGAAGAGCTCTGAACTGCTGGAGAACCAAGTTCTCGTCCTGGCTCCATCTTTAACTGATGGTGGGACCTTAGGCAAGCACCTCTCCACCAGGACCTCAGCTCCCTGCCTTTAGAAAGAGGCTGATGGCACAGGCCCCCACCTACTACCCAGAGTCTTGTGAGGGCCAAAGGGCATACTCAAAGTAAAAGCACAGAAAGTGTGAAAAGCACTACAGGAAGGCCAGATCTCATTGCATTTGAAGGTTTGGGGGAGGGCTTCCCTTGGATGGGGTGCACTGCGTTGCCCCTACTCCCTCACAGCCCCAAGGCAGGAGCTGGAGTTTCTCCTCTTCTTCCACTTGGTCCCAGAGAGGTTCTGGTCCCTCCGCGGAAGCCTTCACCCAGGCATCAAGGCCTAGACCATATTCCGTGTATCCTCAGTCAGCTGGGCCAGATCCCCTGGAGAGCTAAGTCTTCCTGGCAACTCTCTCCCCCAAACCCAGGCTCAGAAAAGTCACTGGCCAGGGCTGTGCAGCCCAGGGCTTAAAGGCCGGGAATACTTTTCACAGCAGACATGCCCTGGAGCAATGGTCTCCTGTCACCTGAAGGAAGGGAGTGTAGGGGACCCCCTGGTTCAGCCCCCCTTGTGGGCCTGCGAGGGCTGTCAGGCGACTCACTTCCTGCTTCTGGGCCTGTTTCCTAACCTCTTGGATGGGCTACAACTCGTCCCGCCCATCTGTTCAGGACCACTAGGAGGCTCCAAAGAGAGAAGGGAGGAGGTGTGGGTGTGGCAGCCCCCACCTCATCCGGCCCTGGCTCTGGTTCAGCCTCTGTCTGGAGGAGACCCAGGCTAGGGGTGACCCCAGGGGTGGTGCTTCCCCCGCTGGACTTCTATCTCCTCCTCTGTGAAAACGGAAATGAACTAATGGTCCCAAAGGCCCTTTCCCTTGAGTATGAAAAAGGGTTCTGGAGAAGGAAAGTGGCGATGGCTCCCTTCCATGGCATGCCTGCACGTGGACTTGATCTTGGCCTAGAGATTGAAAAAAAAATCACCCCCTAGATACCCTAGCTCCCCAAGGGCCCCCAACTCCACCCTCTTGGCTCCCCTTCAGATGGTGTGGTTTGAGCTGGCAAAGGATCAGACAGCAGGGGGGACAGGCTGGGCCTGAAGCTTCTCCAAAGCTAATGATGATAATGTCACTCCCCTCCCCACACTCCCACCCCTTGGTGAGGACAGACAATGGTTCCCACACCCAATGGTCACAGGCCCTCGGAAGGAGGCGCATGCTCATGATGATACATAAGAAACAGGGCTCCAGCCCCCAGCCACTCCACCCCTCCAGGAGGTGAGCAAGATTTCACAGAACAAACAAGAAAGTCATGGAGGGGGCCTCGTTGACCACCCCACGGTGTTGTTATTGCTTCGAGCACTCTCTCTCTCTGGATAAAAGCTGTGCAGACATCAGGGGAGGGCTCAGCTGTCAGGGCCAAGCCCCTGCTCCCTCCGGTCGTCGGGACAGCCAGCCTCTGCCCTGTCCTTGGAAAGCTACCCCTGACAACCACAGCAATGACGGCTGGAGAGAGAAGGCGCTCTCCTGGCTCAAAGTATCTCAAATGGCGAGTAATAAACACAGCAGAGAAATCACACCGGTTAAAGGAACAAACAGGTGAGGGGCTGATTCTGGGCCTTAAACGTGAGTCCATCCACAGCCCTGCTCCCTCCTGCCCCTAGCCCTGGGGTCCGACCATCACAGTCCCAGGAAGCTCTGAAGACCTCCTGGATAAAGGGGTATGGCCACCTCCTCTTCCCAGTGCAGGGCAGAAAGCTCTGTGGATGTGACATAAACTGACCAGAACTTGAACGGATACCCAGGGCTGAGGCAGGCTGAGGGAAGGGGAGAACCTCCAGGTGGAAGGAATCACCTGGTGGGACCGGGAACAGGGTGGAACAAAAGATAGCCTGGGTGTCCTCAGTGGAAAACGACACTCTCTAGTGGAGACCAGGGCCCTCTGTCAAGGCCCTACAATCCCCAGGAGCGCCTCATAAAGAAAGCCGGTACTAAGGATAATAAATCAGAACATATGAATATAATGGGCAGTTCCGGCTACAACCCTACAGGGGACAGGGGAAGGAAGGGGCAGAGGAGGAGGCCCAGGCCAGCTGAGACAGCGGTCTCCTGGAATGTACTTGTGTCTCCTCTCCACCCCGTTCTGGGTCTCTGTAAGGACTATGTATGCGCTAAGAACAGGCCCCAGGGCTGGAAATGCTAACTCTACCCAGCTAACCTGGACTACGCCCTACACAGCAGGGACTAGGTACAGAGGAGTGGTAGGCTGCTGGGTGCCTCCCAGGGGAGGTGGCAGAAATGTGCTTCTATAAAGAGGGGCCAGCCTGCCTCCTCCCTTGCATGCAAAAGGGCTCCCACAGGCCCAAGGGAGGGCCGGGCTGGGAAGGCAGCCACCCAGGCCTGCTTGAGAAGGAATCTCCCAATTCTTCACTCTCTTTCTCCCACTATCTTTCCTCCAGCCAAGGTAGTTGAGGCCAGGGCAGTGGGTTCTGCCCTTGGTACAGGATGGTTTGTTTAAAAAGACTAAAATGGGGGGGGCTCTAGTGCCTCCCCAGATCCCTGGCCCAGAGGCAAAGGGGTAGACAAGATGACCTCTGACCTCATCAACAAGGAGGGGTTCTCCTGTTTGAGAAACCCTTACCTTGGCACCACCAGTCCCAATTCCAACTTTCCTCAGCCTCCCCCAAATGCAAAGATGGTGAGCTCTCTAGGCTTGGAGCCCCTCCGCCAAACAAAGATGACAACATTCTTTCCAATCCACCAACAGTTCCCAAACTAGCGTGTTGCAATCCCATAGAGTGAGGCACCCTGGGGTCTATGCCAGGCCCTGAGTACCTCCTCCTTTCCTTTGGCCCCTGCTGGACCCCAATTCCTAGAGTCACCGGAAGAGGGGCAGGCAGGAGGGGACAGACAGATGGACTCGGACAGGCTGCGGCAAAGCTCCTTCCACGGGCAGGCAGAGGGAAGCCTGAGCTCCTCTTCAAGTGGGGGGCTCTGGGCCCCCAGAAGCTGGCTCCGGATCCTTGCAAGGCTGCCCCATCAGCTCTGGGGTAGGAGTAGCTGCCTGAACCCGGTGCCGCAGGAAAGACACTTGCTGGTAATTGGCACCATGGAGATGGCCGGCTGGGTTCTGGACTTGGCTCTGGGCAGCGAGCTTCCGAGGAGGCAAAAAGGAGGAGAAGTTGGACAGTGTTTAGGGCAGGAGAGTGGTCTGCTCTGCCACCTCAGTCTTTCCTTTCTCCGGATTACAGCCACAGCCACCAGGTCAAGAACCGGCCAAGTCAAAAGTGTAGCCAATCCCGTTGGGAGAGGGAAGGTCTCAGGGGGTAGGAGGCAAAAAAGAGGTGAGGAGGGGCCCAAGGGGGGCAGGTCTCCCCATCTGCTTCCCCACTGTGGGGGAGAACCCCATCCTCCTGTTCAGTGTGCCCCTGGGCCTGGGGTCCCAGGTCAGGGCTGGGTGGTCTCCAGGCCATCTCGGGGAGCCCCTCCCCATCCCCAGCACTAAGATCGCTCCCCGCAGGGCCCCACGGTGCTCTCGAGGGACAACTGGGATGCCTGCCGCAGCAGGGGACCTGTGGCTGGGTCCACCATGGAGGAGGTGGGGAAGAGCTTGTACCAGCCCACAGCCAGGGTGGTCAAGTCCAGCTCCTCCAGCAGCACGCGGGCCACACCCATGAACTGCTTCCGCTCCATCCGCCCGTAGTTTCCCCACACGATCACCTGCGGAGCAAGAGGAGACACAGTGGTTCAAATCCTGCTGATGCCACTCACAGGGCCAGAACCAGGACCTGGGGTCATGCCCATCCCCAATTCATGAGTCCTGTGCATTCCCCCTCCTTAAAATTGCAATTTCCTGATGTGTCCCTGCTCTCACTGTTCCCCAGGCCAAGGCCCTGGCCTCCAGAGGTTGACGACTGATGGTGACGATGACGATGATGATGATGGGTAGAGCACTTACCGCAGGCTAAACTTGCAAGCACTTTTCCTGCACACAGCACACATTCCACTGTCACAGAAACGTTACCGGGTCGGTACTCTCAGTGTCCCCACTTTACTGATAGAGAAGCTGAGTAAGGCTCAGAAGGGAACTTGTTCAAAGTCGCACAGTAAGCTGTGGAGCTCAGATCAACCACAGTGCTCTAGTTCCTCCAGGCGAGGCCCTCCAGGGAAGCCCCCTAGGGGTGCCTCCCTCTCTGGTACTGCACACACGCACACCCATGCCCCTCACCTGCAAGACTTTGCCCTGGGGACTCTCAGGAAACAGCAGCACCTGGTTATACAGTGGGTCCAGTGACTTGCGAGCAACTTTGGTCTTCTTCTTGGCAATGCAGACGCCGTTCTCTAACAGGTAGGCCTTGATGTAGGCCGCTGGGGACAGAGGCCAGCAGGGATGAGTTCCAGTCAGGCCCCTCAAGTGGTGGCCCTTTAAAGGGTAACAGAGGGTGGTCTCCCACCCTCTGCTGGGGAGAGGGGTGCCCCCATGTGGCCTGGGGAGGAGGTACCGGGGCACTGGGGGGACAGGTGCAGCCCACGTTGGGAAGTTCTGACTGCTTTCCCCTTCCTTTACACACTCCGTACTCACCTGTCTCCTCTCTCAGTCCCTGACTCACCCATGCCCTCCTTGGTTTATACATCCATTTGTTAACCTACTCACTCAACAAATGCATGTCGAGCACCTACTGCATGCCACGTACCCTTGTGGCACTGGGGTATAATGACAAACAGGAAAGGTGGCCCCTGGCTTCCAGGAGCTCAATGGGGAAGAGCAACAAGGTCAACAGACAATCCCAACTGGGTCCCCAAACAAACCCTAAGACACCAGAGTTGGTACAGAGAGGTCCCCCACAGTTGGGGGACCAAGACCGAGATATTCCTCAGCATATCCTCCCTGACCTCAACCCCCACCTTGCAGCAGGGAGGGCAGCCCTCGTACCTGGCAGTGTCTTGGAGCCTGGCTTGGCTGTCAGTCCCCGAGCCTGGATGATGTCCACTTCCAGCTGACCATTGCGCTCCTGCAAGCCGATCTCCACATCTCCTGCAAATGGCCCCAAGAGATGAGACTGGGAAATGGCTCAGAAGCTCAAGCAAGGACTCAGCTCCTCCCCTCTGCCTAGGGATGAAACCCCCTTCCACTGTTCCCTGCCTAGAACAAGACCAGAACTTACTCCCACACCCAGTGCCTGGGCTCTGCTGAGAGCCTGGGAGTGTGGACTAGGCTCTCTGTGCTGGGCACTCAGAGGATGAATCAGTGGGCAGAGGGGAAGGAGGGAGAGATGCTGGGCATCTGGTGGGACCCCTGCCTCCGTCTATCAACAGGCCTTGGGGCACTCACCCATGGGCGTGGTGGCCAGGGTCTGGCGGCCCACAAACTGTGCTGGCCCCATGCTGCCCAGGAAGTCACTGAACTGTGCATCCGATGCCAGGCAAACTCCCCCATAGTTAAGGCTGCAAGAGGAAAAGATGGGAGAAAACAAATGTTCCAGGGGCTGATGGACATCTTGGATGGCTCAGTCGGTCAGCTCCAGAATGTCCCTCATTCCATGGTAATCTCTGTCCCCATTCATCACCCTGCCTCTCCTTGCCAAGTCTTGGGTCCCACCTCTTGAAATGCATATGCTGATACTTCCTTTCTGGGGTGGATGTAGGAATCGTGGGAGATAAAGTCTGTCAAGCATCTGGTCCCTGTGGTTTAGTGTCCTGACATTCTAAGTGTGATACAGAGACTGCAGCATTGGCATCACCTGGGAGCCAATTAGATACATAGACCTGTGCCCCACTTCACCTCCAGCTGCCGAATCAGAATCTCTACCTTCACACGAGGTGATCCACTTACACATGACAGTGTGATATGCACTGGGCCAACAGCTTTGGGCTGGAGGTGTGCATTTGTTGCTGCTGCTTGGCCAGCAACATCCTCTTCCCCTTCCTTTGGTATCAAGACCTCAAATTTCCTTTGGAGAGGCCCCTCTCCAGGCCATGTGATTACAGTAGGGTGGAGCAGATTCACCTGAGCCTGTCCAATCAGGGCATTCCTTCCCCTTGCCCCGTGACTGGCTCAGAGACAGGCATATGGCCCAATTCCGCTGACAAGAATCCGCACCCCAGAGAAGCACATATGATCCAGGTGCCCCCAGCAGAGGGGCAGATCCATCAGGGCCTGGTGGTTTGGGCAAAGCGACATAGCTGAGGCTAGTGTGAAACAATGACCAAGGAGCAGACAGTAAGATCATGTTCCAGAAGATACCAGAATGATGGATGATGATTGTTGACTATAAACTCTATCCCCAGTGTCTCAGCCGCAAAATAATAGCAGCCAATGTTACTGACTACTAACCAGCACTGATATTCAGCTGGCACACCAGGTATTACAGCCAGTCTCCATTTGATTCTGTTCCTTCAACAAATGTTTACTAAGCACATACTGTGTGCTGAGCACTGTTCTGGGTTCTTGGAATGTATCAGTGGACAGTGATTCCTGCCCTCAAGATACTTACATTCTAGTGGAGGGAGATAGATACCAAACAATATCATAAATAAATAATACAGTATGTTAGAAGGTGGCAAATGCTATGGAAAAAATACATAGAAAATGAGAGTGGGACAGGCCTGGTGGCTCAAGCCTGTAATCCTAGCACTTTGGGAGGCCAAGGTGAAAGGACTGCCTGAGCCCAAGGGTTCGAGAACAGCCTGGGCAACTTGATGAGACCTCTTCTCTACAATAAATGAAAAAATTAGCTGGGTGTGGTAGTGTGCACCTGTAGTTCCAGCTACTTGGAAGGCTGAGGAGGAAGGATCGACGCTGGGGTGGCTGTGAGCGTCCCACTGTGCTCTAGCCTGGGTGACAGAGTGACACTCCGACTCAAAAAGAAAAAAGAAAAGAAAATGAGAGTGTGTGGGATGTGGTCTGCAATACTAAGGAGTATGACCTATGCCTGTGCGCTGTACCTTTTTTTTTTGAGTTGGAGTCTCACTTGGTCACCCAGACTGGAGTGCAGTGGCTGCTCCCGGCCACTGCAGCCTCGCCTGCTGGGCTCCGGCGATCCTTCCACCTCAGCCTTCTGAGTAGCCGGAATTACAGGTGCGCGCTGCCACGCCCAGCTGATTTTTTTTTTTTTAATTTATTGTAGAGATGAGGTCTCGCTGCCCAGGCGGGTCTCGAACCCGCGGGCTCAAGCAATCCACTCACCTCAGCCTCCCAAAGGTGCGGGATTACAGGCTGAGCCACCGAGCCCGGCTTGCGCTGTACCTCTTATTAAACACTTTGAATGTCACCCTGAGCCTGTTCTGGCAATGTACATGGATTCTCTCAACCAAACTTCTCTAGGATGTAGACATAACCTTTGGGAAAATCCTGAACCAAGTAAGACTGTTTCCAGCAAAAAGGAAAAATGAGACTTGACCCAGAGACGAGTTATAGCAAAGTCACAGTGTTCAAGGAATGCCACTAACATCTACATGCTCTGTGCTTATAAACTCATTTCAGCCTTACAACAACCCTACGAGGTCATTACTGTCACTAGGCCCATTTTATAGATTAGCTAGAGAGTTAAGAAACCTGCCCAAGTCACATAGGTAGGCCCGGCCCCACTCTCACGGCACTCTCCTCTACACATGGAAGCTGCCCGCTCTCACCCCGCCACGTGGTCTGAAGGCATATTTTCTGGCTAAGATGGCAAATTCAGCCTGTGTGCAGGCAGGCTGGAAGCGCCTGAGGGTTAATGCCCCAGAAGCAGCCCCCACCCAGTGCCAAGCTGGGCATGGTCTGCTGTGGGGATAACACTGGCATATGTCCAGCCAGTCTCCAGGGTTCCCCAGCAGGACTTGCTGTGGTTGTCCACAGTGGTAACAAGCTTGGTAACACCCTTCACTCGCCCCTTCTCCCTGCATTTCATTCCTTGTGGCTCTCTTGCTGGGGATTTTTGGAATTTCCTGCCAAATAGTTGATTTCCACTTGAATCTTTGAATCAGGATTAGCTTCTGGAAGAAGCCAAACCAAGACAAGCAGAGTAGTATTTGAACCCGGGCAGTCAGACTTCCATGTCCATTATCCTAAAAATTATGTAATAGTGGCTTTTGTTAAATGGAGAAAGTACATAAAAAAATAGTCATTTAAATGTCTGGGGATTAAAATGTCTACCCACTATTCTTGCAAAATCAAAGACCCTTAATTTACGACATTGAGACTATGACCTAGACTCTCACACTGGCAACATGGCCTTTCTTTCACACCTCTGGGTCTGTTTTCCACCCCAACCTCTCAGGCATCTGGGGGTGGTCCAGGCTTCATTCTGTAGGGAGGGTCTGGGTTCCAAAAGCCTGAGAAGTAGTGGGACCTCGTGGGTTCCAAGGCACGGAAGGAGCCCAGTCTCCCAGGCAGAGTGAGGCCTTCTGCAGCCTGAAATTGAAACTTTCCTCCAACATCATCACTGTCTGCTCCTCAGTTCCTGGTGGGATTATAAGCAGACAATGGGGAACTGGCAGGCCTGGTAATTAGCAGTAATTGTTTATAATATCTGGGCGGCTGCCTGATTTCCCATCCCAGGGAGCCCTGCTGGCTGCCAAGCAGCCAGGCTGATGCCCCAGAAACCCTGAACGGGTTATCACGTCCTCCAGGGGGCTGGAGGAAGGATGAACAAAGTGGTGGCCGGTCCCTGCTGGCCAGAGGTCCAACTGCATCGGAGACTCCCACCACCTTGGGATCTTCCCTGGAGTAGGAAAGTCGCCAGAGGCTACAAAATCAGATCTGCTTCTCCACCTTGCTGGCCAACTGCTTGCTGTGTGGCTTCTGACTCACTGCTATTGTCTCTGCATTTCAATCAATGTCCATATCTGCAAACGAGATCACGCTGCCTCATGGATGATGTCCATTTAGCTGGCTGGTGCCTGTGCTGTACCAGTTTCAAATGTTTCCAAACTCTGCTTCCAGGGCCTACTAGCAAAGGGGTGTAAGAGAGCTTGCTGAATTGAGTGCGGCATGCAGGCAACAACTTAGACCCATCTTTGTATGCAACAGGAACTTAGACCAGTCCTTGTATGCAAAATGTTCACTGCCAAACGCTACAGCAGGATTCAAACTGAGAAAATAAAGGACAATGGTGAAGAGTGGATTTTGGCATAATATAGACCCTGGATTCCAGTGCTGTACAACCTGGGGTAAATGTCTTAACCTCTCTGAGCTGCAGTTTTGTCATGTCTATAATGGGACTAAATAGTAATCACCTTGCTGAGCTGTTGGGATGTCAGTGAGATAACACAGGCAAGGTGCTTAGCAAGGAGTATTTGCTGAATGAATCCAGTAATGAGACACCATAGCTGGTCTTCTGCTCGGCCTGGGAGAGCCTCCTCACCCTCTTCTTGGCATTTTCATGGCTTTCCTGTTTCCAGACCTGCCAGGAAGTACAGCATCTGGATGCCTGAGACCAAGCCGAGGCCATCTGGGGGCAACAGGGGAGGGCTGCGGCAGCAGGCTCCTCCCAGGGACACATGCCATGTGGGCACAGACAGAGTCCCGAAAGAGGATTGCAATCCATGTTCCACTGACCTTTTATTTTGTGTTAATAGCGAAATGAGATTTCCTACATTTCCAATCCTGTTGATTTGTTTATGGAGCTGAGACCCACTTGTCTTTTATTATTAACCTCTAAGCTTGGTTTGGCCTCTGGATTTTCTGTGTTCTTGATGGTTAGAGAAGTAATTGGGTTACTTAGGGCTTTGACTCCATTCTCTTTTCCAGATGGGTCACCCGTCTCAATGGCATCAGAAATTAAAAGGCTACACTGCTCTTGTGGTGATTACAGGTTATGTGGCTGTGAAAGGTTTTAGTAGTTTATGGGCTCCCTGTCCATTTCCTCACAACACATCCACTCATCCATCCATCTACCTTCCCACAGACTAGTGGAGCCTCAATAAAGTCAATTCTACTGTTACATGAAACATGCATTCCTAAAAATGACTGTGCAATGCAAAATCCTGCTATAAAAATCACAGAGCTTATGGGGAAATGGGGTCAGTATCACATAAAAAAAAAAGACAGGAATGCAGTAAAAATGATAGCTCAGCTTTTGACATGTTGAATGGTCAAGAAATGCATATCGGTCAAGAAATGCAATTAAAATGGCACTTGACTTGAAAAAAACCTGCAGTTTGCTGATGGAAGTAGGTGGCAGGCAGGCTGCAGCCTGTGAGTGACTGTGAAGTGGTCAGGGAAATACTGAATTGGATGAAGAGTTGTTCTGCCAGCTGTGCACAGGTGTGGCTGGGAGCTTGGTCACCTGCGGGGGCAGCAGACATCTGAGGTGTGTGTGCTTTGTGGATTCTCATGCGGGTGTAGTTTTCTGCATTCACCCATGTTTCTTGTGAAAAAAATTGTGCCTGAGCAAACGCAGAAATCGTGTTGTGCTCAAATTGTTCCTCAATACATGAATAGTGTTGGAACAAATTCTCAT